CATTGTATTTCTTTTTCTACCTCAGAATGTACGAACGAGAAATTTGCCTGAACGTGCGACTATATGAAGCATGACAATTTCCATACGTAGTCACCTTTCATTCTAGAAATTCGAATCATTCGCTGTAACAGTGCACCCTATTTTATGTTTTTTTCTTCATTTTCGGCGTTATAAGAAGTGAATTTGAACGATGCGTGAAGGTAACGTCCAGGTAATCTTGGTGGCTTTCTATATGCATACCGGTCGGGAGGAACCCAGTTCTGAGCACTCTCTTTGATTTTTAGCTGAGTACTCTCTTTGTGATCATATATTGTTGGAAAATGTAAGAGAATGTCTACTTGAACTATTTCACTATTTGCGGTGGATTTTCTCATATTTATGCCAGAGAACTGTCTAAAACTTTTCTTCCATTGAGAGATACTTTTCTTTGTCTGTTCATTGATTAACACCATATCCGTCCATGCAAAGATGTCAAATTTCGAAGGGAAGATAAAAAAACATCAAAGTTAATATTTCAGAAGCTGTACGCTCAATTCCAAGGACCGAATAATCCCAAACTGCAGTTTTCGAACTGTCCCCGTTGCTCAGCAGTACTTGTTCCCGCACCTAATTCTGGTAAACTGTAAAAATCATGGTGCTTTTTCCCTTTTTTCACTCTCATTTTTAGAATTTGGCTGTTGCTCATGTACGAATCCGGGTTGTGGTTGTGCGTTTTGCTACTTTTGTGAATCTGAGCCTCACTGGCCAATGAGTTGCGAACAGTACAAACGCTGGACTGCTAAATGGGACACTCAATGTATTTCTTCTTTTATTTTTTCGTCTCAGCATACGCATCGAAGCATTTGCATCTTTCAGATCTGCTTGAGCAAAAATTCGTAGATGGGGCAGGCCATGTGCGGCTGTGCGTTCAGTGTGGAGAAGCATTCCAGGTCTATCCAAACTCTGCACATGCTCGATGTCCTCGTGAGATATGCAGATCGGGTTACTGGTCTAATTGGGAATTCCACCACTGGCACGATTACACTAGACCTTACTCAGAGAAAATTTTGAATTGCATGGCGTCGATAGGATACACCATGAAAAACTGTGGAGAATGTGTAAGTTTACAAGGGAAGGACACTAAGGGCCGCATGCGTTAACACCCCCGCCGGGGAGGGGATCCTGCTTAAATCTTCGTATCCTGGAGCTCCACATGCCTGGATCACGTTGTCCTTCTATCCGTAAGTATTCCTACTACCCTTAACTATAAACATATTGAACGCGAGCGAGAAGTTGTACAAGCAGAATTTTTCAACTTTCTGTATGATGCCTAGATGATCCTCGGCAGCCAATCATCTTTTTTCAAAGTCATTTTTCTTTCTTCAAAGTAGATGAAACCATTCCAAGCTGTATTCATTGTCTAACCTAAAAGTGCTAAGCATGTTGCTGATAGGAACAAATGATGTCTCGGAGTCATGAAAATTACATGAACCACAAGTCGAAAGTTGGGGTTTATCGAAAATTTCGATATTCCAAAAACTCATTCGCTTCTACCAGAAACATGCTTAGCACTGTTGGGTTAGATAATCAGTGCAATTCTGGAATGTTTTCGTTGACTTCGAAGAAAGAAAAATTACTTTGAAAGACAGACGGTCGGCCGCCGGGGATCAACAGGAGTATATACAAAAAGCAGGAAAATGCTGCTTGTACATCTTCTATCTCGTGTTCAATACGCTTATAGTGAAGAATAATAGGAATATTAGGTCGTTCCATAAGTTCGTAGCGTTTTTATAAACCAACAAAATCATCAATTTACAGAAATCACTCAAAATTATAATCCTGCTTGTAGCGCACAACCTTTTGGCACATTCTTGTTAGCTTCTCAACCTCAATTTTTCAAATGGCAGCGCGCCGGATCCCAAGAAAGTCATCTAACGAGCGCTCAAGTTGCTTACTGAAATCGAGACATGCACAATTCATGAGGTTTGCCAGAGAGCGGAGCAAATGATAATCTGGTAGAGCGAGGTTTGGAGAATATTTTGGGTACTGAAGTACCTTCCACTCGAGTCGTGCAGGAGAGTTTTGACGACGTTTGCCGTATGAGGCCATGTTTCGTCATGCAGAAAAACTCGCTGGATTTGTCTGTTAGGCTTTTCTGCGGCAGGATCTGGTTTAAACCGTGCATTTGGATTGCTTATGGCGTGGTTGACCGTCGCCTACTTGTCCAGCAATATTCAGTGCAGGACGTCCTGCACTGAATATTGCTGAATACGTCCTGCCCGTCCCCCGAAAAGTCTTGTTCAGGGACATCCTGCTCAGCTCCTGCTCTTTTGTACCAATCCAATTCTTTTTTGTCTTATACTGATGAACAACGCCACGTTACATAATCGACACAAAAATCTGTGCAAAAACGCTTCTTTTCATAACGAAAAAGGCGCAAATGCCGAAATTGCTCCTTTTTGCCTTTCAAAATTTCCATCTTTGAAAGCTGCGAGATCCGAGTGAATCGGCTTTCCACCGAAATCAGTAGATGTATTTCAAAAAGCACAATCAGCCCTTCCAAACGATATATGCATCCCGCCGCAAATCAACCGCTCCTCAAAGATATGAGTACGAAAATAAAAACGCTACGAACTTATGGAACGACCTAATACTTACGCATAGATAGACAGCGCAAGATTCGGACAGCTGGAGCTCTGAAGTTTTGGGACATGAAGCCTTCTTTTGAGCTGCGATCCCCTCCCCCCGCGGGGATGTTAATGCATACGGCCTTAAAGTCAATTCAGCCAATTGTACAAGAACAGTGATGATTCATCTTGGTTCGGAGCTGAGTTTAACTATCTTCATCACTTGCTGAACTCTGTTTTAAAAAGAGTTACGACTATTATCATATGGCAAAAGGAAGTCGTCACAGCAGGATTCGTACTTGTAACCATTTGCCTGAAATGCACCGCTCCTACCCCTTCACCAACCATGTTTCGATGGGCGCTTCTTTTTTGTTACTCAAGCAATGGGCGCTTCGGATTCAAAAATGTTAAATATTCAAGATACCGTTTAGCAGATATCAAATGCAGATTTGCGCTTGGCGTTCCAAATCGAGATGAACCATACATTCTTGTTATGAGCGGCTGGATCGACCTAGTGTCCATTCTTCGTGAAATCTATGCACATAAAATCCCAGAGAAAAGAGATTATAGGGATATCCTATCGAGCAGGACACCATAGAATTGCATCCTCTTTTGAACAAGAATGTATCCGAAGTTGGTCATGTTTTTTCGTCACTATCCCTACACATTAAGCCTTCTTTAGCTGTGCGGTCATGCGCGAAGGCAAAGATTCGAGAAACAAGATAGGAAGGAGTTTGAGAACTATGTAGCGGATGTCTTCCCGATGAGGAAAGTACAAAGAAAACTTAGAAATACCAGAAACTTGGTGCGTTTTCGGATTCATTAGCCTCAAGGAAAAAGTCTACTACAGGTTCTATTCTTGGTTGAAAACTGTACTGCCTGGCTCTACCTTACCAAACCTATTGGTAACAGCTTGAAAGTCGCTATCTCGGACCTCTTCTTTCTGCTGCTCGACATTCAGCGACGCATTCCAGAAGACAGGTAAAATCGTAATCTCTCCGCGTGGCATCAAGTATCATTTCAGCAACGATTTTCTTGAACGAATGCATCACATGGAGGTGAAAGCAAGAGATCTCATTGCATTGATACAGCGATATAAGCTCAATTGGCGTAACTTTTGATCACCACTACAACATTTGCGACAATGAGTTTTATTCGATTTGAAGTACTAATACATGTAGTAGAGGAATCACTTATTGTTAGAACTAGATGCACAACTTTCTTTCTGGTTATCCTTACCTAAACATTAGTCTCACTTGCGAAGAAAATGCCGGAGGTGCGCCTATCTCCCCGAGTATAATTAATAAACTTTTCTTTTTCTTATGTAATTTTTTTCATTTTGCTGAATTTTCGAATGTCTTAAGAAACACCAACTGTGCGGCGAAAGTGCCCTAAATAAATATGAAATATGGCCGTTCGATACTGCCATCAAATCATATCAGGGAGAATTCAAACTACTAGTGATGTATCCTATAAATTTTACGCTAGTTATCCTGGTCGTTCCGTTCGGTATCTCCCATTGTTCATCATTCGAATCAAATGGTTCTATTCGATAGCCTAAGCTGTTTCTTGATTTTACTTTTATCAATACCAATCTCCTGTTTGTCTTTTGTAAAAATTCCTGCTCAAGAAGAGCGCTTAGTGGGACCGTTACAGAGGACTTCTGGTAAAATTACTTGGCAGTGTGACGTTAGGCATATCTTCGTGGTGAAAAGGGTACCAGTAGGTATTTATGTATTCGAGAGATTTTTTCCGAGGAGGGGCGGCGAAATGTTTATTTGAATGAACGTATGACGTAGCGTTAACCACCTCTTTAACAAAATTCTGGGACGCTTTACATAATTTTCGCGGGTCCATACCCCATACCCCTAAGCCTCCTCCCTCCACCCCCCCCCCCCGGGCTAAAATGAATGCATTTTTGAGACCAACTTCACACAGAATATCAGACTTTGATTAAAATGTGCTATCCCAAGGATATCCAATGTTTTACGCAGATTTGCACAAACCTTGGCTGGAATAATGTAACAAAACAAAACGAAAACCGACTCAAATATTCAGACCGCTTCCATTGCTTTGTTAGTGATGGTTCGAATTCAAAAGTGGCCAATGGCAAACACCATAATTGATCCACTACACCCAATTCGCTTACTTCATTTACTTCATTATTGTTCAGATCAGTGATTTGTCTAGCAAAGTGAAAATGATGAAGCTGATGAAGCGGGTCAAGTAGGGTACATAACTTCAATGTAAAGTGTTTTATTCCTTTGAAGTATGTGATTGCCCACCATTCGAAATATTTCGAACCATTGCTGTCATGGCAACGGTTTTTTTTATTGAGAGATTGCGAACGCGGAATGGAGCCGGAGCTCGGCACGAAGTGACCTTTGGAAAGTGCAAAAAACGAAGCCTTCCTTGACTTCACGAATTTTTACGAAGTCCCCTTTAACACTAAACCCTAACAAAAAACCCTCAAAAAACGAAGCGTCGACTAGAGAAAGACGTCGCAATTTTCGTGTCTTTTCGGCCTCGAAAACGATACCCCTTTGCTTTTTGTCCCAAAAACAATATCCAGCTTGCTTACAAGTCACCTGTGTCGAGCCCTGAATGAAGCGCCTGATAATCAGTTATGCACCCTCAATACTGTCCATTCGCTTGGTAATCACCATGAGCAGATCGGTAGAAGACAGCAGCAATTTGATGCTCCTTTGTGATGAGAAGTTGCAACAAATAGCTGCCTAGATAAAATCAAAATTATTTCAACCAACCTAACATGAATACGCGAAAAATGCAAAGCCTCATGCGCGATTGGCCAATACAACCATCGTTTTACATCGCAGCTCTTGTGAAACTCTGCAGCAAAAAGTTTTCAGATGGGTTCTTGGTTCGTTTATAAGCTGAAAGTGTAGTGCACGTAAGAATGACCGCTGAAGGTTTTCCGTCAACAGCGTAAAACTTTGATTAATAAATCTCAACAGCAGTGACTTTTGATTAATAAACCTCAAAGCAATGACCATATATAATTGCGCGTTTTGGATCGATTTGCAATTTTTTGTCGTCTATATGAAAAAGCTAGCGAAGAGCAGACCATTTCAGAAATAAATGTATCTTTTCTTTGTCAAGCAGCTTGTTTTTCAAGCTTTTACTTCGATGACTGCTTAAAAGCCCCTGAAAACTTTCTCGCGTCTATCATTTTCTAACTTGTATCATACATATCCGATATTGTAGGCTAACTTTTCGAGGTTTCTCCAACTTTCTTTCAATGATACTTTTTCGATTTTTGTGAAAGAACAGATTGGGCCGAACTGCTGTAACTATTATTTTCTCTGAGAAATGACAACAGATACATTTTTTTTCAATCCGGAGTAGGTGAACATTCTACGTGGTGCGCTGCTCCACGTGGAATGTTCTCACTGGCGCAGCGAGATAGCTTAGAATGAGAGACACAGACTGCAGAACAGTGCGAGTCGTTGCGAGGCGGATTTCCGCCAGTTCAATTTCCGCCTAAACTGAGTTGAAACTTAATATCACAAAATGTTCAATGCAGGCATAGATAGAATAGTAAACACATAAAAAAGAGCCTCAGAATTTTTTCTTTTGAGTTTTTCGAGCACTATCCGGTTTCTGGACTAAGAACAATACTGGTACTGCAACTACATTGGTGCCCTTGTCAGCAGTTCCCAAGGATGCCAAAATTATAGTGAAAGATCTCAGCAGAAATTTCAGCAAAAATTGAAATATGTTTTTGAGATGCGAGGCTTCAACAAGGAAGTATTGTAATGTTGCAAAAAAAAACAGACAGAAGCGGACATCAGCATTCGCGGATGCCAGAACAGAAACTATCATCACTTGCATATTGGAAACAAAACTCGATACATATCTTGCTAGCAAAAGAGAATATTCCATAACTCAGGCACCATAACGATACCGAAGTGAAATAAACGCCTTCACGCTAACAGTAAGACAACTAGATCGACTGTGACTCCATTACTTGCCATCATAGGGATCAGAAAGTTTATCTCCTTATCCCCTCAGATTTGCAAATGTATAAAGAGAAATCACATGGAGAAACATAAATATAATGCAGAAGAACAAATACTGTGCGGCGAATCTATTGGCGATGAGTTCGAAGGACGAAACAGAGACTGTGGCGATGAGACTTCAAAAACAACTACAAGAAAAATTGCCTAGAGTAAAACAAGTACCCTAAACAAGAACTCTACAAAATTAGGCATATTGTGAAGCTGGAAAAGGGATAGCATGCACCAAAGAAGCAAAGCACTTCTACACTGTTTGACAGTGCTGACCGTTTCCATAAGAGGCGTTTTCGTCAGCCGAGGATGTCGCCAATTTCGCAAACGTACCTTTGATTCAATTGGATTGGCTGCTTGCTACGAGGCCTAATCAAGGCTAGAGAATGATCGAAGAGCACGCTCGCGAGGGAGATGCAGATTACTTTGGGTGCAAGCGGTCGTCTCCCAGAAGCCAATCCCTTTAAATCGAAGGGTAAGCACAGCATTTGAGGTTGAGGTAGCTAGATATAGATTGCTATAAATAGAAATGCACACTCGAAAGTGATCATTATTCATTCGACGATTCTTCACAAGTCTTCTGGGTGAAGGGTGAGGGATAGTAATAACAAATATATAGTAAAGGTACAAGTCATCGTAGTAGTTTAGCGGTACTTTAGTACACTCACTTAAATCATAGGTGCATTTCATCATTGTCTTTATCTCTATGACTGATATTTTCTCAGAAGTTTTCGCTTTCAAGATGGAGCAGAACATGAATACGCTGAACACTAGAAAATCGGAAGGAGTTCAAGCTCAGTCATCGCTAAGCAACACTTTGCTGAGTGCTTATTGCATTTAAACACCAGTTTTTGAAAAGGTTCACAACTATGTGCACTTGTAACGCTGGGAATAGAACAATCACTTGTGCAAAGCCTGCTTCAATCACAAAGAATACAGAGTTTTAGAGAAAAGGAACAAAATTTTTCAAATTAAGTTGCCAGTTGATTACTCTATACTGCGGAAATGTGAAAATTTGCCGTTCTGCGCGGATTACCTCGATTTATAGCCTGCGCAGATAGAAAAAAAACTGAGGAGATAAATCGAAAGGGTCAATCATATGTTTTGATCAAAATGGCTTATTAACACACGCCCCATCTCATGCATTATTCCGCAAAATTTGGCTTACATTACGCCTGGTGTAGCAGCCAGCCGCCAGAGCTGGCACCAACGCCGCGGCTGAGCTACCGTAAGCGCGCTCTCGTCGTCCGCAACCTTTCCAGAGAGATTTTCGCAGCAGCCTCGCACCTCAGCACGATGAGGTGCGAAGCTGCTGCGAAAATCTCTCTGCGAGAGGTTGCGGACGACGAGAGCGCGCTTACGGTAGCTCAGCCGCGGCGTTGGTGCCAGCTCCGGCGGCTGGCTGCGGCGTCAGGTGGCTGCCCGGGTAACACTTGCACGCCTCCCTTCCATGACTCCCTATCCCGTTATAAAAAAAAATTTTCAGGGAAAAACCACAAAAAAATCAATGAATCGATAGAAGCAATCGGTATTCTCGAACAAAATGGCTTCCTAACATACGCTCCACCCCATGCTTTATGTCCGCCAAATTTGATTCAGACTTTATGACTTCTTCTATCCTTTTTCAACGGATCTGAAGAAGGGCTAACTCAAATATTATATAAGTATTGATGATCCCACCAAGAATTTCTTCTAGAAGTCTGTAACATTGAAAAGTTTTAAAATGCAAAGACTGGGCAAAATTCAATCAACTTTGTCCGAATGAATCTCTATTCTTGATTGAAGGTTTTACAAGAATCAATTCGAAAGACTGAAGAGGAAGGAAAAGTTTGTGTAGGTGAAATGCAAATTGATCCGAGCAACTACACAATTTGTCCCAACCTTGTTTAGAAAGCCACACTTATACCGAGTGTGCATATTTCTGAATGATTCGGCATCAATCCCAAGCACAGGTGCGATAGGGGGAGCCGGGCCCTTTTCAGGTAAAGGGGGTCTCTGCTACTCCCATCCTTGTAAGGTGAAGAGGGTAAGTGAACCATGAAAGCGAAATGCCACAACAAGTTACATATCATTCGAAAGCTGAGGTCATGTAG